ATGAACATGCTAAAGAAAGCCTGACAAAGGGTCAAGGGGATGATAAGGAAAGATTCCCTGGATGTTAACATGTAGGCTTATGGCTCAGGAGATAAATGATCTGTTCCCAGCTCCATGAAATGTTGTCCTCCATGAAATTGGTTCATGGAGCTGGGGTAGGTTCCTTTCTAGGGCTGACTACTCCACTTCCAGTGCAGGTACAAGGTATCACAAGGCCACAAAGGACCATTCCTATAAGTACAGGTATGGATTCATCCTCCCCTGTCCTTATGGAGCAACCTCTGCTAAGCAAAACATAGCCCTAAAAGATTTTCCAGAATTAACATCAAAATATTTTTCAAAAAGAAATTTAATGAGATGGCACCCACACTCTGAGATAAAATCATTCTATATTACCATTTTCCCTCCCTCCCTGCCCACTCCCTTCCTCTCTGGCGTGATTTCAGCAGCTAATATCTGTATAAATGCTAGGAGTTAGGAATTATGTAATGAGCCAAACCTTAGCAGTGATGCCTCTTAATACCAGGTGAGGAAGAAATGTTAGTGACTTCTCAGTTTGGAAATTGTGGTAATGAAATTTCTCATGGCAGATAGCTTTGGACTGGATGGAAAACACTTGGTAGATTAAGAGACAGCTAAAATCTTTGTGGAACTGAATTGGATGGGGAAGGGCTAAATGGACAAGAAGTGCTTAAAGAAGCAAGTGGCGTTGTAGGGACTGGTAAGTGGACAGGAACACAATGATCCAGACAATTGCCATCATCATTGAAGGCAGGTTTTGGCCAATTTTCCAGGCCATGCAGTGCAAATAGGGATTGGATGCTGACCCAGAAGCTGTCACTGAAGAGAGAGCAGTAAGGCATATTAAAATATTTGAATGAAAAGTATTTTGTATTCTTTGGAAAAGTGTTATTTTCATTTTAATTTGTATAGTAAATATTACTACACATTTTATTAATTTTTTTTATTTTTTTATTTTAGGATCTTGCAAAAATATAAACTGCTTGTCTGAAAATTGTATCTAACTTTCAGTATGTTACCCAGGCTGAACACTCACTGTCCCTTGTCATTCCCTTGCTGGGACTGAAAATGAGTTAACCAAAATTGTATGTGATGCCACAATTTTGGTGGAAATTTCCCTCCTTGTTTTGGTTTTAGTATGTTGTGTTGCAAATCCCTGTAATTTTTATTTTTTTTTTTAAATTTAAGGCTGAATTTTGTTCCTTTGGAGAGATGATTTATTATAAGTGGCTGTGAAAAGATGTTAGGAGAGGAAATAGTCCCTTGGGAACAAAGAGTCACAAGATAGAAAAACAGCTGTTGAGACTGTAACACACTCTAGTGCGCCAATACACAGCAACAATATTCAAAATAGGAAAAGAAGGCCAGTATGCTTGTTTGGAAGAAAAAACAACCCTGCACCAAACTGAACAAAGATGTAAACATCTAAAACATTGGCAGATGGATCAGAGCTGTACACAACACCGGAAGAGAAGAAGAAATTGCCATGTGTGGGAGGAGGTGAAAATGGAGATGAAGCTTCTGTTATATCTTGGGAATCAGAATAAATCAGAACCATTTGAGAAAGTGCAGCGACAGTTAAACTGGGTAGCTATGGAGCACTAAATTTACTGTCAAGGTTAGCAGTGGGAGAATCAAATCATTCACTGATGTATATCAGGCTCCTTGAAGGCAATGGTGCTAATGTGGATTGCTAAATTCATGATTTGCCCTGCGATTCTGAGAGTGACAAAATTGTTCATACATATTTTAGATTGTTTTGCAATATATAATTTCACACCAATAAAGTATTTTAGTGCAGTCTGTTCTGGGTGATAATCAGGATAGTCTATAGGTAACTGTAATCTATGGTTATGGCTCAGCTCACTATCAGAAAACTTTGAAATGCATTTAAAAATGGATCTTTTGTTAGAATGAGTAAGTTTTTTTTTGACAACAACATCTGACAAGAAAGGACTGTATCTCCCTCACCTTGGGATAATCCTGAGCATTTAAATTAGTTAAAAACAGTAGGAAACTTTAATAAAAATAAGAATAATTTTTGACATTAAATAGTTGGGGAACCAATGAAAAGGGCCAGACTTTATTTCCTTGACCAAATTTCATTTTTTTCTGGAGCAGACTGCATTTGACCTTTCAAGAATTTGCCTTATTGCCAAAGAAGCATCTTAGTGGGGGAGACAGAACATGAGCAGAGGAAGGAAGAGTTTTACTCCCATAAACTCCTAGAAAATGGATGAACCACTGGGAACTGTGTGTGTGTGTGTGTGTGTGTGTGTGTGACTGTTATCTGCTGCTAATCCTTGGATGTTTTAGAGCAGATGCAGAGAAGGGCTACAAAAATGATCGGAGGGCTGGAGCACCTCTTATGAAGACAGGCTGAGAGATTTGGGGGGTTTCAGCCTGGAGAAGAGAAGGCTCCAAGGAGACTTTACAGCAGCTGTCCAGTATCTAAAAAGGGCTTAAAAGAAAAGATGGTCACAGAACTTTTACTAGGGCCTGTAGTAATAGGACAAGGGCTAACTGAAAGAGGACAGATTCAGATTGGATATAAAGAAGAAATTTTTTTTATGATGAGGGTGGTGAAGCTCTGAAACAAGTTTCCCAGAGAAGTTGTGAATGCCCAAACATTGGAAATGTTCAAGGCCAGGTGGAATGGGACTTCGAAAAACTGGATCCAGTGAAAGATGTCCCTGCCCACGACAGGGAGGTTGGACCAGATGACCTTCAAAGATCCCCTCCAAACTAAAACATTCTGTGATTCCACAGTTTTGTGATTCTAAGCCGCAGGAATGCTAAATGTGTTGTAATTCATGCTAGGTTCTAAGCCAGAGCTAATGCAGACCCCAGATAAGCTTCTTGCTTCTGGATCTCTATTTAACACCCTTGGGAACAGAGTTTCCATACTCTACACTTGCTGTTAAAACTAGGGAGGGACCAATCCTGGCACCACAGTCCCCTAATGACAGTGTCACCCTTAAGTACTCCTAGCTGTCCTAACTAGCTCATGGATGCAATCGTAACAAAATCCATGATTTATGCATGAAAATGCTGATGTCACCATTAATTTGAGATCTTAGTCACAAAAATATTAGCCTGGTTTCTCTGCAGCCTACTGTAATTTTACATCAGTGGAATTCGGTTAATACCACTGGAGTTATTCTAATTTGGTCTGATAAAGGCAAGAGTAAAGAAAATAACTGTTACATTATTTTTATATAAGGAATCCACCTTTATAACAGCTCTAATTTATTTAAGAATTAGATAGCCTGCACTCATGGACTACCCCTCAAAACCTGGGGACTTGTTTTTTGGAATCCTTTGCTCTCTGTAGTGCCTTTTCAAAGCCCTCTTTTCTCCCAGCTCTGCCTTTACTCGAGTTTTCCCAGGCTGATCAATCATCAGATACTCTGCTCTGCAGGTAGCTCTTTTCAACTCCAGCTCCACAGTGAATACAGAAAGAGGATGCTTGATAAACTCTCCTTTGTGTCACCCACAGAAATATCCAATTCATATTGCTGTTAAATGAAAAGCTTATCTCCCACCATAAATGTCCTTTAAGCAAATATGCAGAAACAGTTTGTATCAAAATTTTGGGATTTCATCCTGGGGCTGCAGCTGTGGCATCTAAAATGTAGCTTTTATCAATAACATGCAAGGTCACAAAGCAGGGAACCGAGGCATTTCTTGAACTCAGTGACTTCCAGGTCTTGCAACATAACTTTGAGCAAATCCGGGACCAAGAAATGCTTTGGCTGCTGCTCTCCCCTTTGTTTGATCTGACAATGCTGAACCCAGGGGAGTATCTGAATGAAATTGTTGTTTTGCCATAAATAATTCACAACTCTCTGAACAGCTTTCTTCAAATACAAAAAGTATGTCTTTCACTGAGGGATTCTCTTTAAATGTTTAAAACCAATTTTTCTCTTCCAGAAATTAGAACTAGAGATCAGTTAAGCAGTGCGGGGGGTGGGGGTTGTTTGCTTGTCTGTTTCTGTGATAGCTGAAAAATTCTGTGGATCTTGATCTTTCCTCACACACATATCACATTGGAACAGACCTTGATCTTATTTCACACAAGTGTAGCTACACAGACTTCGATGACAGCCTCTTGCTAATTATGTCGCTGAAATGTAAGAGATTCACTGTACCATTTTGCTCATACATAACAGCTTAAGCAGATTTTCTTCTAACACTTGTAAAAACAAACTCTAGGTAAAGTACGAAAATCAAAATGAAATTCAGAACTAGGCATTTAGGAAAGCTACAATATACTGAAAGAAAGGAATTTTGAATAAAATACATCTCTTGTCAACTAAAACACCAACCCTGCCAGATTGGAACAAGAACCTTATTTGTGCAAAGTTTCCCATGAAGACATATTGACTCTTAATGGGAACTATTTCCAGTCAGTTTCTAAAAAGTAGAAATTATCCCTGGTATTGGTGGAGTTCTAGGTTTTTTAAAAATAAGTTTTACAGTCAGCTCAGGGTCTTATTCAAGAAGAGCTACAAGCTGATAGTACAGGTGATAAAACTAAATCAAACAGTTGTTTTGCTTAGTATGATGGGGATAAATCTGTCTACTTTTGAAGCTGAAATGTTGCTCATGTTAATGGTAGGAAAAAAATGTTATTATTTTTGCAGTTATCATTCTTGGCTTGAAATTAGGATGCTGCAACTCCCACCCTTCTGTAAGACAACTTTGAGAAGTGTATTCTAATAGCAAGCTGATACAGCTTAGTATTAATTGTCAATAAATTTGATTGCTTTTCTGAAAGCCTGAAAACATGCATTCAAGATGTACTTATCTTACTTGTATTACTGCCTTATCTTTAATGCACTCATTCTGAAATTATGTGACTGGTATCCTCCTACACAAAGAAATTTTAAGGCTAAATAAATTCAGAAATGCATTCCTACAAGCTTTATATACACATTTAATCTTTCTTTTATATATTTTCTTTTTCTTTTAGTAAGTGGAGGAATAAACAACACTTTCCTTTGGATGGATTATAGTACATGTGAACTGCCAGTTACTCTTCAAGAATAAGAAAAGCCTTTTGCTTTCACTTGTTAAATATCAGCTGGATAGCAAAAAGCATCTGAATGGCTCACGCTCACAGCAGACCATCAGTTGAATGGGATCAGCACTTCTACTAAAACATCCGAAGTTAAGGATTTGGAAAAGAGGTTTTTGCAGAGATGACCCATTTACAAGCTGGACTTAGTCCAGAGACTATAGAGAAAGCCCGCCTGGAACTGAATGAAAACCCAGACATTTTGCACCAGGATATCCAGCAAGTCAGGGACATGATCATCACGAGGCCTGACATTGGGTTTTTACGTACAGATGATGCCTTCATCTTGAGATTTCTCCGAGCCAGAAAGTTTCACCAAACTGAGGCCTTCAGACTGCTGGCTCAGTACTTCCAATACCGCCAATTAAATCTGGATATGTTCAAAAACTTCAAGGCTGATGATCCAGGAATCAAACGGGCTCTGACAGATGGGTTCCCGGGAGTACTGGAAAATCGCGACCACTGTGGCAGGAAGATTCTTCTGCTTTTTGCAGCCAACTGGGATCAGAGTAGGTAAATGTAGATAGTGTCCTTATCTTTTTACACACTCACTCAACTCGTAATGGAATATTTGTGGCCGTCCTTGAAGCAGCAAGGCCATTTTCAGCAAAAGATTTTGTAACCATACCTCCATTACACTATAACTACCATCTCACCTGATCACCTGTCAGTCCTCATTCTTAGGATATAGGACCATTGAGAGATAAGGCTATATCAGTGTGTCATATAAGCAGTTCATATCTGGGATTTTTTGAAGAAATATTTCCAAATTTTAGCCAGATAATGTGTTTTTGCAATGCATACATTAATGTCTATCATACAATTACTTCAGCTGTATCATGGACCAGCCAAACAGGTTGACAGAAAGCACCTCAAAATGTAAGGACATTCCTGTAGCTCTCCTGGTGCAGAAAAAAATGTCAGTATTTATTCTATCTTCAGACTTTCTAACAGATTGCTTGCTTGTTTGTTTGTTTGTTTGATTATTTGTTTGAACCATTTTGGGAATTGCAGCCTCTGCTTTATTTCTACAAACTGTATTGTGATTTTTACACACTGTGGCTGCTCTGTGTTTTTAGTCCCATAAATGGGAGATTCACACAAAACATATTTTTTGCTCAGGCCATTTCTTTACAGAGTGGTATGAACAAAGATGTCTTGCAGCCATTATTATAAAATAATGTCCTTAAATGTTAATGTGATTAGTCAGCTTTCACTACCTATTTGAAGTGGTACAGAGGAAGGGGGCTATTCCAGGAATATCATTTCACATTGTCCTCGTCTTTGTAAGTTATTCCATTCCATTTTCCCTGCCTTCATGGTGAGATGGAGAAGTGTCATCCGTGGTAGGGTTACTGTGTGTTCTGTTGAATCTTTATAAAAATCATATGAAAGAACAAAATTCAGATTCAGGTTTTAAATACCATCAGTTCTGATGATTTACAGGTAGGATTTTGTCTTGCCATGGTCTTAAGGTTTTGATGAAAAGGTCTTATTCTTAGGAGTCAGTAGATTGGAGCTTTGAATTTAAACCAGGGAAATTCTTAAAGAACAATACACATATGCCTGCAATTTTTCTTGTTATTTGTTTTCTGGGGAATCCTTTCATTGCCATGTGAAAAGCAGAGTTCAGAAGTGTTTCTGATTTTCATTTGCATGTGAATAAATGTACAGAAAATGATACAGAAGTGTAACTTTGCATAATCAAATACATTTGGTGAAATCGTGAACTGAGGGCAGTAATAAAAGTCCTATTAACTACAAAGAGGCCAGCAGTATATCTCCTGTCCTTCTGAACTGCAAGTTTGCCTTTCTTTCAACCACAAAACTATTAAATTCTGTTAGCAATTGGCCTGAAAAGAAAGATGAATGCACAGGTATCTGGAATTAATAGAAAGCATCAGCTTTAGAGGACAGCACTGTGGCTCTGCTGGTTGCATTAAGGGATTTAGGTATTACATAGAGCCAGCTTTGGGTTTCTGATCCCTCAACAAAATGAATCTTTGTGATTAACCTTGTACGTCAGGCCCTGCTCTTGGAAAGCTGAGAGAGCTGGTGTCTAAGGCTCCTGAAATGAAATTTTGACAGAATAATGGTTGCTGTCAGATTTTGGCTCATATTTTCTGCAAGACCTTTAGTATGCATCCCTGTGTGTGTATGTGCATGTGCATGTGCAAAAACCAAAGCAAACCTGCATATTTTTGAAACTACAATTTTAACCTTCAAAGAAGAAAAGCTGAGGCAAATAGCATAGGATGAACTTTCCTGAGACTCCTCAGTGGCATTAAAAATCATGTGCAAATTTGACCTCAGTTCAGCCACTTAACCTCATCTCTTCTGTGGATTCATATGACAAAAGTGTTTTTTTTCTGTGGGTTTTTGTGGCACTCCAGGTGCAACAGGGATTTGGGACTTTAAGTAAATGGTTGTCCTCCTCCTTATTTGCTGTCTAAAGGCATCAACAAGTGGAAAAGCTCTTAAGGAGAAGGAAATGGTGAGTGCAATGTTCTATTAAGCAGCATGGGAGCAGGTTATTGACCAGAAGAAACACAAATATTACAAAAAAGTTGAAACAGGCATTGTGCCCATCTTACATAAATGTATCTTGGGCAACCTTTCTGCAGACATGTCTTGAGTGATGGCAAGATGTTCACAAGCTCACATTTCAGTTGAATGCTAATGGAATTGGTCATGATGTTGACATGCAAGAGTAAGAGCTCAGCCTCCAGCCTGACCTTCCTAACTTTAATCTCATTTGCCACTGGCTGTGCTTTCTCTTTCTTTATTATCAAATTCTAATTTATGAGGGGTTGTTTATAAAGAAATAATAGATTTTAAAGGGTCTGTTAAAATCAGAATAGCTATAGTCCATAAATTGATTTTCAATCCAGACATCTTTACCTTTTATGCACCTGGGAGTATGGTTACAGTTGGTGTCACATATCAAGGAGGCAGAAGAAACCTTGAAACTTTCTGTGCTTGTAAATATATTAATTTTTACAGGAAATGTCATTATTTGTGTAATATGACTGCTTGGACAAATCAGATCCAAGATGTTTCTAAGATATTCTCTGTATCAAAGATAGAATTTCCATGCAAGCTTCTAGAAACATTTGCAATTTCAGCCACCAGAATGCAATAGATAGACCTGACATCTCTAACAAACTAGGTTTTAATTTCCAGTCTCAATGTTTTCAGCTTCAACTTCCAGCTGCTAGATCGTGTTAGTTTAAATGCACCACAAAAATATGACAGCTTCCCATGTTTGTACTTTTGTGTCCTGACCATGTCACATTTAACCTATTTTTGAGTTCATTTGGGAGGCAGCACTGTAGGGTAGGTCACTGTCAGGCAACAAAAAGATAGTGCATTAGTGACTCTGCAGCAGAGGTTCTTGTGTTCACTTTTAACCATGGGGAAAGTAAAACAGCTAACACCCTTTTCCTCAAGTGAAAACAGCTTTGTGTTGTCCACAAGGTAAAGAACACACCTCTGAGCAGCCAGCACATCAAAGGTATTGTTTTGCAAAGTGGTCCACCCGCTTAATGCATTGCAATACATTTGAGGTGCCAAAGCTTACAGTTTTAACTTCTTTACTCCCAGAATTGGGAAGATTTCCCAAGTCTAAAATACTCTCCATCAATCTTTTCTGGACTGTTCCTATCATTTTAGTATTGTTGCTAAGGTGCAGGTGGATGAACTGAATAAAAATTTTCACTAATAAGTCTTCAAGTGATAACCCTATCTCATCTGTTTAGTAGTTTCCTCCTTTTAGATACAAGATTGTCACTCTGTTCTTAACTATTCTATCCCATTTTGAGCTCATGTTCAGCTCAAATTTGCTTTCAAGTCAGTTTCCTAAAATACAAATGCCACTGGTAAATGTGTCATAGATTCTCATCCATAATGTGGGCACAGTCTAGCATGTGATTCACACTCTTGTGCAGAGCTAAAACTGTCCTGCTCCCCAGTTATCATTTCAAGGGGTTTGTGACATCTGCAGAGCACACTGACAAGAATTTTGTTTTTGTTTCCACACAGGTAAAAAATATAATGATTGTTTTGAACAAAACCTCTTTGATTACAGGGAAAAAAAACACCGGGGATGATAATTCTTATTGCCAAATCACAAGCTGAGATCTATCATGTTCCAGAGTTACACTAATTTAGCATGTTCTGCATAGGTTCGATTTCTCTCCATTGTTCAGGCAGATTTCTTAGAGATGATGTCATCACTTTCTCTCTAGGTCTTGCATAGTATATTTTGGAATTGTTTGTTAAAGTTAATTCAATACTTTCATTTTCACTTGTTCAGTATTGAATGAATGAAAATGAGCAGATGAATAGATAAGAGAGAGATCAGATAAGTTCCTTAGAGAAGGAGAAAAAAGAACTGTTGAGCTATATTATTGTACACAAGTACAGGGGAGGGACATTTTTCACTTTGATCAGAACTCAAGGTGTGAACCCACCTGAAAGCCACAAAGATTTTACTTACACCAGTGCTTACAGAGCATCTTAGTTTGAATGCAAATTTGTGCAGCAATAAAGACAGATAAGGATGTCAAACTGATTGTGTAATGAATTTTTTTTATTAAATAATTTGCATGATAAAAAATTCCAGTTTGTAAAACAAACAAATGCATACACACAGTTTTGATGAGACCTGAATTTAATGGATTTAAATGGTTTTAAAGGATTTAATGTGAAAAACCATGTTCCATGTGCTGAAATACAAATACTCTTTTGCACATTTTTTCAGTTCATCACTCTCACCAAATCTAAGCCTTCACTCCTCTGATCCACCTGTAGTGAAACTGAAGCTTTTAAAGAAGCTAGGTAAGAGGGTCTTCTCAGCTGTTGGGTTGAGGAAAGCCTTCAGTAACTACCACAGCTGTTCCTGTGTCTGCTGGTGTCTTCAAATACATGCTGCTTATACACCAAGGAGATGGAGAACAAGTAATTCAGCAGAAGGTGTTCATTAATCTTCCACGCAAATGTTTCTTTTAAGGTTGTTTAGCCAGAGTAAAATTTATTTTTGTGTGGAGAGAAAGGAAAAGGACTCCAATCACAATCCTCTGCAAATAGGGCGTGGGGTAGGGGGCAGAATGTTTCTCATCATTTTTTTCAGTAAGATGGTAATTAATTTCTGTCTTCATGTCTGTGCCTTAGAAGCTGTCACATAGCTCCAAAAATTCTATGAGTCAGAGAAAACCTGCTGGTTTGTTTACAGCATACAATCCCAACTCAACTGCTAGCCATAAACCATCTTATATTACCCAAGGAATCTCAAATACTTACTGTTCTGTAGGACAGTGTACTGAGGCTAGAGGGAAAGGAAATATTCTGGCATAGAGGTAAAGCAACAGCTACAAATATTTTGAAGGATTGTGGTAAAACCCAAGTATGACCTTCCAGAGAAGCTCAAAGTGGTGTAATTACATGGATATTGTCATCATCAGATACTATTGGTATAAAAGAATACATCTCAAGTGCTGATTTTTCTAATGTAT